TTGTGAGCTAACTACATCGCTACAAGACTGGGGAGCTATCAGTTAGCTTATTGTGAGCTGTTGATTGGTGATTTGTGTGACGTTACGTCACTGCAAGACTGGGGAGCTATCAGTTAGCTTATTGTGAGCTGTTGATTGGTGATTTGTGTGACGTTACGTCACTACAAGACTGGGGAGCTATCAGTTAGCTTATTGTGAGCTGTTGATTGGTGATTTGTGTGACGTTACATCACTACAAGACTGGGGAGCTATCAGTTAGCTTATTGTGAGCAACAGCTCACAATAAGCTAACTGATAGTTCTCCAATTGGTGATTTGTGTGACGTTACGTCACTACAAGACTGGGGAGCTATCATTTAGCTTATTGTGAGCTGTTGATTGGTGATTTGTGTGATGTTACATCACTACAAGACTGGGGAGCTATCATTTAGCTTATTGTGAGCTGTTAATTGGTGATTTGTGTGACGTTACGTCACTACAAGACTGGGGAGCTATCATTTAGCTTATTGTGAGCTAACTACAAGACTGGTAATAACTTTAAACAAATCCTTCTTTGCTAGCCCTAGATTTGTAGATAATAACCTGTCTTATTCTGACATAAAGTCACACAAACTACCAATACACAGATAACATTTCATCAGCATAAGGCATTATACATACCACAAAAATGAACTTATTGTAATGTTTTATAATATCTTTTAACCTGAAAATCTACACTTCACTAGATTTAGCATTACACAACCATGTATAGTATATTTACTACTAAATTATGAACTTAATGCTAGTGATTGGTTTAACAGACATACCCTGAAATGATCCATCAGGTCAGCTGTGACACTGTAGGGTGCTCCAATCACAACTTCATTCACATACTGTAGAACCAAAAATATCAGTCTTAAAACAATTACTATGTACAAAAAAAATGATTTAAATGAATAATTCATCTAAATACATGTAATTATGTTACTTATTTTTTACAATACTGATATAAGATTATTATTTTAGAACAATGATAAGGATCTACAACTTTGGAAGTTAAAGAAAACAGTCTTAGAAACTTCTTTTCCAATGTTTCCGCCTGGTTCTCCTTTAAAAAGCAACACATTCTACTTAATTTCTGTCTCTATATCTAGATCAAATCTAAAACTAGATTAATGTATGGCATCGTCGTGAGAGATTGGTGAAAAAACCTCCGGGGTCCCCTCACCCTTCTTTCAGCGAACTTTGTTCACCAAACATCCCCCTTCAACATAAAAGATAAACAATCACAGACTGGTAAAATAAATACAATTTTCAAGAACACTCTCAAACAAAATCATGAATGGCATTATGATGACAAGGACAAATCAATGACATTTAGAGACTGCTAATGCTTACCTTACATGACAAAACACTGAGGACTCTTTCGTGCAAGTTCATGATTGGGTAGTTGCATCCCTTGTAGTGGTTCACAACCTACAGAATCACAGAATACATTTGGTACAGTAAGAAACAAGAGGAAATCCTCAATAGCCGCAGCTCTTGAAATTCTTTTAGGCAAGATTAGAGTAAATTAATCTACGAGTTCTTTGTTTCATTTTTATTAGCTATATTTTTATGCACCAGTAGTACCAAGCATGGGGTGTGCGTATAGCCGATTAAATTCTATTAGTCCTCAGGATCTCTACCAGCCTACCCTCAAACTGAATTTCTTTTAGGCAGGATTAGAGTAAATTAATCTACGAGATATTTGTTTCATTTTTATTAGCTATGTTTTTGGGCACCAGTAGTACCAAGCATGGGGTGTGCGTATAGCCAATTAAATTTTATTAGTCCTCAGGATCTCTACCAGCCTACCCTCAAATTGAATTTCTTTTAGGCAGGATTGGAGAAAATTAATCTACGAGACCTCAGACATGATCAAATATACCAATCAAAGGGCTTAACCTCCTGAGTCCAAAACTGTAATTAGATCTCAAATTGGTCATGAACTGATGGAGCTATGAGCTAAAAGTTTGCACTTGAAAAGAAAACAAAAAACTCAGAGTCGTTTTATGAGCCGCTATGCTGGATCTAAAAAAATTAATTACAGCTCTTAAAATAACTTAACACTTTAAATCATGTGTTCTAGACAACCTACCTAACATAGCTTTCTGAAATACTGTTTCAATGTTATGACTAGTACAGATTAGCTTACATAACTTACATTAAAGCCTTATCTCTCTCAGTACACTCATAATTTGACTATTAAAACTGAGATCTTTGAATTTAGTATAATTTAATGCTTTCCATTGGCTATACCTGAATTAGTTTTTAAACTTACATGAATAGTAGATTATACAAACCTATAAATATCATTAAGTGTGTAATAAAACAAAAATTAAAATCAAATGAAAGTGTCTTCAACACTGGAAGCTAAACTACACTTGATGATGAAAAAGTTTTGAAAATTTAAAACATTAATTTGATTTTCATATTTTTCTTTAATGATATTTAAAACGAAGCAAAAATGTAAAATTTTAAGTAATTAAACAGGATAACAGTTCAATAGATTATAAATATTCATTATTGTTTTCATCTTTATTTGTATAAAAAACAAACTTTTAAATTCCAAAATAATTACTTAAGGTAATATTAAATAATTTACAAACCAACATACCAAGTTGCCCATTTTTTTGTTTGTGTTTCACATTCTGTTGATAATTTCCTACAAGTATTAGTTGCACATACACAAAAAGGCTTGCTCTTTCTCCTAGTCTGCACACTTACATACCTCAACTAATCTTTTTACAAGTATAGGTCGCACATACACAAAAAGGCTTGCTCTTTCTTCTAGTCTGCACACTTACATACCTAAACTAATATTTTTACAAGTATAGGTTGCACATACACAAAAAGGCTTGCTCTTTCTTCTAGTCTGCACACTTACATACCTAAACTAATATTTTTACTTCAGTTTCTTGTTCATCCCAGTGTTCCCAAATATAGTTTAAAATATTTATTATGACTTATGCAGCATACTATCAAACGTATTAATTATAAATTATTTCAACCATCCATCTTTACTTTGTATTTCTTTGTTGTAAGCCTATTTCCTATTAAATATGTAATATGCATTACCTGAATGCACTTGTACAATATATTCCATGAATTATCATCACTTGAGCATGTTTTACAATAACTTGACTAATTAATTTATGCAATGGAAATATTATATCACTTTAGAACATTGAATTCCAACATTATACAACTATATTTGTATGTACCATACCCACATAAGCTTTGGATAGCTGACGTATAACAGAAAGGTGTTCTCTATGCAATCTTGATTCACATGAAAAATAATTTTTCTTGATGTCAATGTACTTGAAAATATGTTATAAAATTACTCAAACAAGATGTAAGATGTAGTCCTTTTATATAAATCTCAAACACCTTTTCGAGAATATTGTAGTTTGATATTTCTTAATTAAGTGGCATGTTAATGTTACCCTGACAGTAAGAGCCTTCGTTGATGTCATGCAAAACAGTACAAGTAACAACACGAAAATAAAAATGTAATCTTTTCAAAATCACAAAACACTTTAATATATGCTACTAATCCATTTATATTTAAAAGCTGCTTATTAATACATTACTTTATCACATTAATGTTGCCAGAAAAAATATACATATTCATGCAAAGTTTAACGTTTTTTACGTAATATCTGAAGGATTATGAAAGCTACTTTAGGCAAAGGATTTCTGCACTGTCTCTTAAAGTTGTATGCTATTTATATTAATATATATTTTTTCCAACATATTTTTTTCTAAAATATTTATGCACCAAATTCTATGTGGGTGTATGACTTTGTTGGTCTCAGGTTCCTAATAATCTAGAGGTTAAAAGTAATATCAATAATTCAGTTAATCCCGCTAATGACTTCAGTTTTTTATGTAAAAATAAGGTATTTGAACCGATTTGTTTCGTCAGTTTTTTTTATGCCGTATGCCGTATCAAGAAAAAACCAAATTACGTTATTATGACGGAGCTTACGGACCCATCAGGTAGTGAATGCTATAGAAACAATTCAGTAATTTGAGGTTAATATAAATACTGAAGGGGTTCCATATGAGCCCCCACTGGTCAATAATTTATGGTTAGGAAGGTGAGCCATTTTGATAAAAAATGTAAAGAAATACTTTTCGTGAAAGAAGAATAACTTTGATCTAGATATATTTCATTACATAGTGTATATTTAAAAAGTAACTTAACTGATATTTGGACATGTATATAACTTTTTTTTAAATATTCTTTTTTTATCTCATTACAAAATACTTTATTACGCATTAAGGTGTTTCAGAGACGGACTAAGTGATATCCTTTGTATAACTTATAAGGGATGTTAATTATCCTGAACCAATCACACAAGTTTTAGAAACTACAGGTCAAAGGTCAGAATTGGGAAAAATAACATAAACATACGTGACATACATTGTCACTTTAAAAAATTAAAGGTAATAAAAATAAAATCATCAAAAACTCAATCGGACTAAGTGAGACGGACTAAGTGATATCCTTTGTATAACTTATAAGGGATGTTAATTATCATGAACCAATCACACAAGTTTTAGAAACTACAGGTCAAAGGTCAGAATTGGGAAAAATAACACAAACATACGTGACATACATTGTCACTTTAAAAAATTAAAGGTAATAAAAATAAAATCATCAAAAACTCAATCAACTTTACTTAATAAAATATACTACCATCAAAACCAGAAGAATTCTTGGCATGTACAAATATAAAGAGATGTCCTCCAGGTACCAACATTTATTGCTTAGATATGCAAGTCTCTCACAATCTATTATCAAATGCATCTTATTTATTTAAATTTTACACAAACAATAAGAAAAGTTTTAAAGAGTAACTTGGCAAAGTAAACAAAGTTAAGTGCTGTTATATTACAATAATATAAATGTGTGTTTAAATGTAAATGCTAAAGCATAACACACTGGGCAGTGCTATGAATATGGATTCCCATCACACACACTAATATTGACGTAATATCTGGTAAAAACGGAAGATCATTTTCGAGAACAACAATTAAACTCACAGGATCCGTGTGTAGACCAACAATAAGGTAATCTCCTTCCGCTTTGGCTTTCTCTAAAAAGTTCAGATGGCCGATATCTACAACATGTTAAGTATTTTCTTTCCTTTCTGAGCTTTTAAACAAATAAAAAATAAGCAACTGTTACCTTTAAACAATCACTAGAATACAATCTTTCTTCTCACCTGCCACAGAAATCATAAAACTGTGACACACTCAAATAGTTAGACCTAAAAACTAGAACCTGCCCCCCCCCCACTTCTAGGGGAAATCATGAACAATCATTTATGCATATAATAAGTATCAATTAGTAAAAAGGATATTTTTATTTAGATTATTGTTGCCAGATATGCCTCTTTGATGTGTGAATTTTTTCAAGAAACTTCTTCAGAAGTTCATCATAAAATACTGATTAATTGTCATTCATGATCACCCTTGGGTTACATTAAAATAACTAAATAAATACATCAGAAGCTGTGAACAGCACATTCCTAGTGCATTCAAGTGTCTATGTTTGGAACATCAGCAGCTGTGAACAGCACATTCCTAGTGCATTCAAGTGTCTCTGTTTGGAACATCAGCAACTGCCAACAGCACATTCCTAGTGCATTCAAGTGTCTATGTTTGGAACATCAGAAGCTGTGAACAGCTCATTCCTAGTGCATTCATGTACAGCACATTCCTAGTGCATTCAAGTGTCTCTGTTTGGAACATCAGCAGCTGTGAACAGCTCATTCCTAGTGCATTCATGTACAGCACATTCCTAGTGCATTCAAGTGTCTCTGTTTGGAACATCAGCAACTGCCAACAGCACATTCCTAGTGCATTCAAGTGTCTATGTTTGGAACATCAGAAGCTGTGAACAGCACATTCCTAGTGCATTCATGTACAGCATATTCCTAGTGCATTCATGAGTCTCTGTTTGGAACATCAGCAGCTGGGAGCAGCACATTCCTAGTGCATTCAAGTGTCTCTGTTTGGAACATCAGCAGCTGTGAACAGCACATTCCTAGTGCATTCAAGTGTCTCTGTTTGGGTGAATGCAAAATTACATGATAAGTGATGTATATAAGAATGACAACATGTCGTCTTCTGCAACCTGGCTTATGGCCAACTTGAATGATACAGTCATTCTAAGCTGTGTGGTAATTTCCCTACTCAGTTAAAAAAATTGTATTTGTTATTCATGGTTGTCAAAGGCTCAAAATACTTAATATGGAAATAAAAAAGTTACAGAGTACTAAAAGAAATTAAAATGGGACATTTAAGTGTCCCTAAAGGACACTTAAATAACAAAATCCAAACTGGAACATCAGGTCATCCTAACTGCACAGCTGTAATAAAAATGAAATATTTACTGAACCTTGTTTACCTGCTACTAACCCAACAAATGTAGACAAAGAAATATCATATTTTAACTAATCAACTAAATTTAGACATAGCACTAGAATTGTACCCTATTTCTATCCATATAAAAACAGATTTAATACTGCATAAATATATGGTAAAAGTGATAGTTTTATTTTAAATCTCAATCCCAGGTACTACTCTTAACTTTGAACATCTAAAGTGCATAGTTTTCTTAACTACAAAATTAAATATTTTCTTCAAATTATCATTGATCATTTATCTTGGAATTTTAGTGTTTAGTCTATTCAAATCATATCATTTTTTATACAATCTTTACCAGAAGTTCTCCTTTCGATTAGTAGGCTCTTAATAAATACTAAATAAGTTCAATGAAAAATTCAACAACTTTACCCAAGTTTTTTGGAGTAACCGAGATTTCTTCAAAAAAAAAAAAAGGATACGGAATAGGTCAAAGGCTCCAGCAACATATACAATTTCATCACCAGGCTGTATAGAAAAAAAAAAAAGAATGCACGAGTTACTTCAAAATAAATGTATTATTCTTTGTTTTTTCAAATTTTACAAAATCTCAACATATGAATAAAATCGTGCTATTGTATCTGAAATTACATTAACTTTGTGCTGCAGTTTCGTATCCAAGAAAAAATGTAATGTAATTACGTACTTAAATTTCCTTTACATTGTTTACTGTATATATACACACATCTCTAAATAAACTTTCAGTGTATTGATTTAATATATACAATTGTTGGAAGTAAGATTAGTAAGTTTTTCATGGATAAATGTCATGGAAAATATTATGAAAACACAAAAAACAAAGAGTGGAAGCAAGTACACACTAAGCCACAAAAAGTAAATTTTAATGTTTCTGTATTGTGGACTAACTAAGTTTATCTGGTAGCATCTTTCTGCTTATAGATGAGCCTTCTTTTTTTTTATTCTACTCAATAACGATTACTATGGATAACTTTAATGGTAATTAAGTTTTATAAGACTTGTAACAAAAATTAAATACTACAGATTGTAACATCTATCTTGCATTGTTTGCTAAAAACTGTATCGATATATGGACAAAAAACACTAATATGAAAGGATCAGACAGAATTTACTATGGATTTATCATGAGTGAGCTCGCAAACAACAACAAAATTACATTTAAATTTCAAAATGGTAATAAAAATAATGTTTCTCTATATATATAAATATTTTCACTGCACAAGAAGTGCACTAAGAAAAACTTGTATGCTTCTATATCTTCTTAGTAAAAGTGAATGGTAAGAGGAAAACTTGACTGAATAACTAAACTTTTCACTGATGGAGACAAGTAACTAAAATGTGTAATGTTTCTAATGTAATTGAAAAATATTCGACTTAAAAGTATAAACTGTAGGAACAACCATATCTCAGGTTAAGGATACAAAGATAAGGAATAAAAAATTACCATCTAATTTCCTGGACAGTAGCATTCCGCTTCACCTAAAGGACACTTTTTTTCTCATATTATCATCAATGCAATAACAGAAAAATATCAAATAAAAACACCAAAATAAACAATAACACACGTATAATTTTAATATAGATATTCTTAATAACTCCTCCAACCTTTGGCTCCTTTCCTTCTGCAAACTGGATAATTTTGTGAGTAGTGGGAAGAAACTGAGAAATTCCAGTCCACGGACTGTGCGTTGAAGGATCCTAGAATTTAAAACTTACAGTTTTAACTTCTAAAAAGCATTCACAAATTTACTAAACATAATAATTAATAAGTGCATTTCAAATGTTCATAAGAGACAAAGTTTAAAGAAAACAAACTACTTTATTGGCTGTTTTGTATACCTGACAATATGAAATCTTTAATGGTTGTACTAGGCTTTTGCAATATTGTTGACATCATCTTACTCAAAACTTCTAAGTTTTTTCGTTATGTTTAATATTGTTGTTACTAGAGGGCTAGATATTTCTAGATTTTCCTCTTATGTGTTATAAATACATGCAAATACAGAAGTTAAGTTAGTGAAAGTGAAAAAATGTGAAGTTAGACTGCATGATTGTGAGTTTAGCCATAAAGAGCATATAGTGGGTATTTCTAAAGCGAGTATCACAGCTTGTATTGTAATAACAGAGATAGAGCAAAATAATTTGTCTTGTCAAAGCATGTTCTAAAGTAATTGAACCCACCTGTGTGGACTTTGACAAAAAAAAAAAGAGACAATTATTTAAAGCTCTGAAAATTTTTGTACATATGTTTGACTCGTTTTAAATAAGTGTATGTTTATTATTCAAATTTATTGCCAATAAGTCAGAGACACCTACTGTAAAGAATACAGCCCTATAAAAACCTTACAAAAACAATAAAGACTCCTTGAATGTCAATACAATGAAAAGAAGATTGTCATCTAAAAGAGTATTGATGATACAATTAGCAAAAAAAAAATTTGACAACAAATACATACAGCTTATCAATACTTGAAACAGGAAAAAACTTATTCATCATTAATGTACCAATTGTGAAGCCAGTTTTTCAATTCAACACACCTTACTAATAGAGCCAGACTGTACTTTATCAACCTCGTACTCCCTTTCTCCACAACTGTGGTGTTGCTTGGTCAACAAGAGCATCCTGAGAGAATTAAAATAAAGACCTTCTTTAATTCAAAGCTTAAATTTAAACTATCATTGTCACATAGGTACAAAGGACTCAACTTTTACAGTTACAGCCTAAACAACAACAAAATTAATACACACACATACATATATGTAAAAATTTAATTCACTATTCAAAATACTGAGACTAAATTACTAATATTTATAGCTTGGCATATAATAAAATCTTGTTTCTCTTGTCACAATACTTAAAAAATACATACACTCACAAATCCTGGGTTGTTAACTCTTTCAGGACCACATGTGCGTACCTGCCTAGGTTTTTATGTTCTTCCAGTAAAAGTTCTTAACAATTTGTAAGAAACTTTGTATAAACTTTCTAAATAATGTAGTGTCTGCTTGAAAAACAATTCATATAATACAATTTATTACTTTGAAGGAAAAAAAATCGAAAATCCAGAAACTTCAATTTTATATATGACCAATCAAGATGTTTAATATTAATCAACATATTTATACTTTATTTTGCTAATTGAAGCAGTCAACTTCTTATTATGAATTATACAAAACAGGGCAAGACAGAAAAAAATGTATCACTGAATATCCTCACCTTTCAAAAATGACATCGTCTTTACCTTTATCAAGTGCTGTGGCAAAATATTTTGACAACAATATTTGTGTTTAGATTAATTTATATTTAGCAATTATAGCTTATTTTCAATAAATACGAAGTTATTTTATTTGTATATATTATTTGAATACAATACACTTAACAATATACTCAATAAAAAATAATTTGTGTAAACTCAGTAATTTGACACTCCAGGCCAGCTTACCATATTTGCTAAACTTAAATACCCATACCTAATATCTTGTGAAAGAAGATTAATCCTGTAACTCCCAAATAAGTATAACACAAAAAACACTATTACGAATCAAAATAACACCATGAGGAACAATAAACACATATTCTGGTCTCCTAATTTTTAGGAAGTATTTCAAAACTTCCTTATAAAATTGTTTCATTTCTGTTGACCACACAAAATTCAAAAGCATAATATCCACATGATACTACTGTGTTCTCGACTACAAAGCATTAAATATTACAAAATCTCCTTTTTTTTATAGTTATTAGCTTTACTAAGTTCAAAGCTAACAATCATTCATATTGGTCACGAACTCCAGGAAGTAATATATAAATATGAGAGCAATCAATAAATTTACTGGTGAAAAAACGCAAACATCAAGCTAACCTACAGTTCTGAAATTGATTGGGAAAAATAAATATAACCTTTAAAGGCAGCAAAAAAATATATTTTCAAATGTAGAAGTTCAGTGATTACAGTTCAGACACCTAAAAATACAACAGAAATGTTTAAACGTTTTAAAAATTTTTATTCTCTTATGTTCCCATATTTAGTAGTGATCTATCTACCTTACAATTGCTTTATTTCTTTTAGATACTTCTACATAAATTTAAATGCTTTTACTCCAATGTTTTAAGAAAAACAAGAGCCATTTACAAGAGAAAAAAAAAAGAATATATAAATATACCACTGTACAATCACATAGGATGATACAAAATATAGATAAGTGTTTTTTTCTACTATAATACATTATACATGGTCAATTGGTTTACCTCTGTCCCACCTGTACATGCACTTAGAAAATCATTAGCCAGATAAATCATCTGGAGCCATTTAACAGCTGTTAAGCACAAACAATACTTGGAGAAAAATCTAATTCACAACTGAACAAAGTGTAGAAATAATCCTTTTATGTATACCATGCAGAAATAAAAAAAGTTAGGTATGTTTTATTCTCATCTCAGTTAATTTGACCTACCTCCCAACAAGGTCAGTAGTTGACACACCAGCTGTTCTAGAACATTCTCTAAGAAATTATTTAAAAAAAACATTAAATGTAACATTCAAAACAAAGTCTAGTGAAAAAACAACAATACATTTTCAGAAGTTATTAATATATATTTAAAAAGTATGCAAATTTATGGTTAAAGTATTTGAAAATGACATTTATTTAGTAAATGGAAACACATTGTAAGGAAATGGACGTGTAGAGTAAATGAAAGGTATATGCAGTTCATCTTTGATGTACGGTACAGTTTCAAGTAATCTATATTTTACTTAGTACCGATTATATCTATACCTACTACATATAAAAGTTTTTGCAACCTGGTGTAACACAATAATGATATTTTTGAATTACATAATATCAAAAGAGGAGCTTCATACTCAAACAAACAGCACATGTATTGCATACGTGTTTGAAATATACAACATTGTATTTTATTTATTTTTTGGAGTTATTTTTAAAAAGTACACTTAAAAGCATGTATGCCCCATTCCTAAACTAAAATAATCTTTCAAACGTTACACTAGTTCATATTCATAATATATATTACCATTTATCACCTATAGTATGTTTTAAACCAACTTTTAGAATACACGTACAGCTAATACTTGTCAATTTAGAAACCCAGTCAGTCAGGAAAAATACTACATTTATATATCAGATGATTTTGAGGTTTGAATAGTAAATAACAAAGATGACAAAATCATGAAAATATTTATCAATAATATATATATATATATATATATATGTATATATATATATATATAAATGTAGCCACATTTAAAGGCAGAAGCTAATGAACTGTTGGAAGTATCTAAGGGATATAATTTTATCTTGTATCTCTTAGCTTCCTTGAAATATCATTAAATATCCAATCTACTCGCAAGAAAGTATTAGAAAACACAGGGAACAATTCTTACTTGTATCTCTTAGCTTCCTTGACATATCGATATGTATCCTGTCCACTAGCATCCAGAGTTATGTCATCTAATATCAAGACAGTATGACAAAACACCAGGATGAATTTAGTAAGTATTATACACGAATAACAATTACCGTTTTCTGAACTGTTTAACTAAATACAATTAAGATGATTGAAAACAAAATAAAATTACTCTCTGTGGTAAATGTATACTTGATTATGACAAAAGGAGGGATAATACTTAGGGTACTTTGCTTAGCAATTTTTTTAGCTGTGGGAGTTGAACCCTCTGGGTTCACCCTCACTGTAACTACTGTTTATAGTCAAAGGAATAGGATAACAACCTCTTAGTTACACAAGATTCCCTTCAAGTACAATGTCATTTATAAAAATCTATAAATGACTAATTTTGTACAGAAAGGATTTTCTCTCACATATGCTAAATTACAAATAAAATAATGTGAAAAAAAATTTCATTTTGAAAGACTGGTACAGATATGTGGGAAAGGGTTTATAGAACACAGAAACAATAAAAATGTTACAGAATCAAAAAATATAACTTTGAGCTTTCTCATTTCTAGAAAGGAAAAGTTGAACGTACAGGGTTGAATATGTTATATTAAAATCATTTTGGATATACAAGTCAGTAAGTCATGTAACAATCACAGCTGATATAAAGACTTGTTGGAATGGCATATATCAGAACTATGTTTTGACATTGTTTGGCATGTTGTAGCTAGGAAGAGTATACAAGTTTGAATGGCATATATCAGAACTATGTTTTGACATTGTTTGGCATGTTGTAGCTAGGAAGAGTATACAAGTTTGAA